ACATCTATTTCATCAATAAGAAAATCAATTGGAATTTTGTTTTACTTGTAAAGTAACTGGAAGAAGCTCAAATGTTTTTTTAGACATTTTTCAAATAATGATTAAGTTTTTTTTAAATAATAAATAGCTCACTTTTAGAAAATGCTGGATTCTGATTAGTTGATCCAACAAAAAGTGCTACCAAAAAAATATATTCAATTCTGATTATTTGATATCAAAGTTGTTGAAAAACCCATGAGAAGTAGAACTCAGTTTTGATTGGCTGACATAAAATTTATTGAAAATTCCATGACCATTGAAAGTCGATTCTGATTGGTTGATATCAGAAAAGATAAAAATTGCCTTGTAATTAATGCTCAATTCTGATTGGTTGATAGTAAAACTTTCGAAAACTCCATGGTTAGATTGGATAAATTTTATTTCAGCTAGGCTGAAACGTAAATGTATTCTGACTTTTTTCTCTCCTTAAAAACAATTAGTTAAGAAATTTGCTTTTTTTATTCAATTTTTTTCATTTTTCGAGGCTATTCAACTTTTCTTTTCTAAAAATTTGGAACATTCTAAATCTCCAATTTTTCTTTTTCCACTTATTGAGAAGCTGTCACTGGATAGAAACGAATAAATTGCATGTCTTGAATGTGGCAGAGAATACACTCGCTTACACGCATCAGGACATCGAAATCACTGTGGCGTTTTAAAGTGTTCCAATTGTAACGTTTATACAAACAGCAGCGTGGAACTTACTAATCATATCAAGAAGAAGCATTTTCAACATAATGTTAAATCATGTGCTCAGCAGTGTCAAAGCACACTCCAAGAGAAGGTAAAAGTGATTTTTTTTAAATAAAAAACATAGTACAAAATACTTTGAGTAAGAATTTTTTACTGAATCTGAAAAGAATATACACTAAATTTGAAAAAATTTACCGTTTTTTCATCATTATTCTTGTTTTGTCATATTCAAAGGTGCTGGTTGATGATAAAACCAGCAACAACCGAATTCAAAATGTCTTGAAACTTTCAATGGAAATCGATCCGAAAATCTTTCATCCACTGTTAAAACTCCATCGGTTGCCCGCTTGCGGGGATTTTGTTGCGATAAATTTGTAGTAAAAGTGAATCACATACGCTAATGAGTGCTTAGGTATTTGTTGAAAAACTATAAAAAACTGGATATTTATAAAACATTGATTAATTGAAAGTCTTTAGCTATTAACCATTTCGAAGTTTTCCTTGCTTAGTGCTTCTAAAAGTAATCATAGAGTAGTGCGTAGCAGATATTGGGGATTGATGTAATAAGAATTATGGTTTTCTTTCGCTTTTTTTTGATTCAGAAAAGAAAATGATAACTGAACTGAAAACTGTATGTTTTGCAAACATTTGAAAATTTCAAGATAATAATATACATCATTCTCAACCAAAAATTTACTTCAAAATAGAAATTCAGAGTTGAAACAGCCACATACAGTTATCAGTTCAAGAAAACAATTTGAAGTTTTTTTAAAAAGGGTTCCTGGTATTAATTCTGCTTCGGATTAATGATTGTTTGTTGAATTGATACCTTTTCCCCTCTAAAACTCAATTTTCAAATAAAACTTTGTTCAAATTTGATTAAGTTGGAAGATAGTAGATGAAGCAGAAAGTGAGAAAAAAAAATCAAATTGAGATAGAAACTTAATTTAATTCAAATAGGAGTTTAGAGATTTTTCTAAATACATTTTAGCTTATATATTACATCTTGAGAAAAAATTCAAGTAAAAACGTAATGTTTGGAAATTTTTTTATCATTTGACATACTAGGTTAACTTATGTGAAACTTCAGATTTTTTGAAAATAATTTGTCGTGAAGTAAACCCAACTCCAACATATTTTGGAAGATGATACATGAAGCATAAATCAAAAATTTGCTCTCGAGATCTACATTGCATTCTTTTGGACAAAAAAATTTGATGTAGAAAGATGTTTAGAGAGAATCATATGGAGCCTGCTGAAAAAATCTAAACAAATTAATACTTTAGCAGAGCCAGATATATGATCTCTTAGTTCTATGCATTTTATCAAGAAAAAATTCAATTAGACATACAGTAAAATTTAGTTCTGTTTAGCGTCAATTTTTTTCAATTAGAAAATTACGTTGAATTATAGAGTTTTTGCTCAATAAATTTTGCAGAATTATTCAACTATTTCAATATGCACCTTAATTTCCTTTACTTATTTGATGTTTTTGAGAACAATCTTTTAGATGTTATAAATGTTGCAGAAAAATGGAACTAAGTTCCCTTGCGTATTTCTACTTCTGAAGGTTTTGCAGATTATAAACAATAGACCTGCTCTTCTTTTATTCTAAAGAATCAACGTAAAAGTACACCTTTATATCCCCAAATTAAACATGTGCTTTCAAATGCTTAAAATTGTACCGATGCTTTCTCACGTCGACATTTTTAAGAAAACTTTCGACAAAAATCAAGAACAAAAAGCGATTGCAAATTTTTTTGCAAGAAAAGTGATAGTCAATGGTCTCAAAAATTGGGTTTTTCCTGAAATAGTTTGCTGTAGCAGCTAAAAAAAGGAACCTAAAGAAGAATATGTACAAACTAGATGGTAATAATCAGACGTTATCAGTTCTAATTTTATCTCCGCCAACAAATTGTTCGTTCAGTTGATACTATTTTCTCCTAAATTCCTCAGTTCTGACTAAATTTTCTTACAAAGTGAGTTCAAGAGAGAAAACATGCAGTAAGCAGAAAGCAAGAATAAGATTGAGACAAAGAAAAATTCTACGGAAAACCATGAAAACCATGAAGCAACAGAGAGATATTCATCAGTTTTGAAGAAGATTTTGTTGAATATCATACAATCTAATAAACTGTTAAGAGAAATATACCCACTTTTTAGTCAATTTTAGCAGTAAAATGTTGAATTTTTATCATGGAACTGATACAATGTTAAAAACGCTTCAAAAATGGTAACTTTTGTACAAGTTTGTGTTATTCTTTGAGAAAAAACTGAGGAGGAGCTGGATCATGGAGTTTGATCTAGAAATTTAAATGAGTATTGCTCTTATTGTACAATTGAATTGAGATTCTTAGGTGAATTCTCCTTGAATTGAACAAAAATTCAGTTAATTACACGAATGAAAGGTTAAGAATGGAAAACTTTGGATAGATTTGATTAGTTTTTACTTTCTCGAAAATGACTACTAATTATCTTATTTTCCCGAGAAATCGGAAGTATTAATATCGATTCTGTCAATATGAGCTTTATGTGTTCAATGCCTTGTATAACCCGCTTTTCAGCTAAAATTAGGTTTAATTTTTTTTGTGTTTCATTATTTTGAGAGAAAATTGTGAAAAAATCTATATTTCTATGCAAAGTTTTGAATCAGTGTCTCAACATGATGCTAATTGAAATACAATTTGAGCTTAATTTTAAACTGTAAACATATTCATATATTTTTTAAATGGATCAAAAGCAACAAAATACTTGCCAAAACTTTGAGATTTTTGCATTTTTTTCCAAAAATTTAAAATTTGTTCCAAAAACTTTGAAATTTTTTAATTTTTTTCCAAAAATTTGACTTTTTTTCGAAGTTTTAGTAGGTTTTGGCATAATTTCAGGTAGATAGAAAATAAGATTACTCAATAAAATAGATCGAATTACAACAAATCTTATAGTGTTTTAAAGTTTTTATGAAAAGTTTTCAATTGTCGTGACAAAAACTCCAGGTTTTTGCCCAAAAACTCTTACCTTTGACTTACCACGTACCAAAAAACTAAATACATAAGCTTTATTCTACAACCTACCCGTAAATAACCAGTAATAATTAACAATTAGATAATGCGCGCCAAAATTTTTGCGAAAAACGTAGACATTTCCACACAAAAACCAAATTTTTTTTCTCGAAGTTTCGTTAGGTTTCACTATAGCTTTAGACAGTTTTCTCGTTGAATCAAACCTATAAAACAATAATCAAATCATCTAAACCGTAGAAGCTAGCTAAGAAACGCAAGTATCGACAAAATCGAGCACGAAAATTTCGGGCGCGAAAAATTTTTCTGAAACTTACCATCTTACCATCTGAAACCTGCTATCTTAAAATATTGGAAAACCTATTCCCTATCCTAATACATAGGAAGTCTATTCCCTATCTTAATACATAGCTTGGAGACCGGATACTCTATTCCCTATCTTAAAACATGGAAGTTTCCACCCACCCCCCCCATGCAATATAATCTTCATGAAAATAGTCTTTTTTCTTTTTATTATAGTAGAAAAGGTTGCTTAAATTGGTTACACATAATCAATTATAATGGCAACATTAATCTGGCAACATGCTTTTAAGTAGAGAAAAATCCGTTTTTTGTACAATATAACCCATTTTCTAAAACATAATCAATTTTTTGGATCCTAGATTTTTTTTTCAATTTTATGGCGATAGCAAACGTTTTTGTTTCGATTTTATGGCAGTTTTATGGCAAAAACAATAGATTTTATTGCAATTTTGAGGCAAAAGCAATAGATTTTATTGCGGTTTCATGGCAATTTCAGGGCGAAAAAAAATAAAAATAGATTTTCATGGAATTATTATGCAATATAATCTTCATGAAAACAGTCTATATTTTTTTTTATTATAATAAAAAATGTTACCTAAATTGGTTACACATAATCGATTGTAATGACAACCTTTTTATCAATATTACCTATTTTTATTCGAGAAATTTTGGTGCGGGTAGTTTATTTTACCAGGAGAGTGCTCACCTCTCATAACTTCACAAATTGGCATTGAAACTATCACGAGTGATTGTTGCTCAATGCAGAACTTTGGTGGAAAACTTTTAATGATTAGACGCTTTTAATGGAGCAATTTTTTCCTTAGTCTTTTCAACAAAAGTATCAAAAAATAAACAACAAAACTTTAATTGGCCTCATTAAAAACAAAATGATCATTTTTTTGTCCTCATTTTGACAAGAAATTGGATGATTTAGCTCAATTTTTTGAGAAATTGGTTTGATGAGTTCCATTTTTTGTGTGAATACTCAATTGGTTCATACTTTTAGGGGACGGATTAGGGTTTTCTCGAGGGGGTTGGATTTTCAAAACATTTTTGGGTCGACCAAATTGATTTTCCGAGTGCTCTTAGAAAGGCCCTGTTTTGGCCGCAGTTTTGCGCTGCATCCAAAACTTTTTAAAAATAGGCCAAAAAGTACGTTTTGAAGCACTTTTTGGGAGTCTTGACAAAAAAAAACTGTTTTAGGTGCGCGCTCCCCCTCCAAAAGTAGTATATATTCACGCCAAAGGCGCCTTTCGAAAAAAATTAGTGTCAGCCAGCAAAACACTTGAAATAGTTCTAAAGGGGGACCATTTGGGAGTTCAGAGGGTTAAATCCCTGAAGTATCTAGAAAATATGAAGGAAAATTTTTGACCCGCGTTTTTTTCTTTTTTGAAAAAATATTGAAGAAATGATTTTGTGTTGATATAATATTTTAGCAAAACGTATTGAAGATTCTACTTTCAAGAAAATTTGATAGTAAAGTTCATGGACAACTTGATTTTGTTCTGGTAGAATTGGATACGGATTCCAAATGGATGAAATAAGACGCGTCTCAGTAATTGAAATCCTTTCGCTGGAATATGAGTCATCTGCTTCGTCTCTTCACTGTCAGAGATCCATCTGAAGAACAAAAACACTTATAAAAATAGCCCAGGTTAGCAATCACAGGTGAGCAAATTAAGTAGGTTAGAATATTGTATCTCCTCGGTCAAACAAAAAGGCTAAAAAAACTTTTAGGAAAATATTTGTGTTGAACTTCATCCTCTTTAAACATTGTCATTTTAACAGAAAACAACTCTAATTTCCCGTGTTGACTTTCATAGACCAAAAATTTAGTTTTTGTCTGCATAAGATAGTCCTAAAAACTGTTAAACTGCTAAAAAAAAACAATTTTCTGTAGATAAAAATAAATCGCTTGTCTCTATTTTCTTCGTCAATTATTTAGAAAAAATTTTTTAGGTCGTGTTGAACATACGTTTTCAGAAAAAAAACCAACTGTGAAAATGAACCGTTAAAAACAATATCCAGTGTTTGAAACTATTTTTTGAACAAAGGTCAAGACTTAAGTGAAACAGTTCTACCACACATTTAAAATCAATGTTTTATTTTTCCAGAAGAATTAAGTTCCTATAATACTGCGGATTCAAATTTGCTCATGACTTTCGAATGCTGTGATTTTGAAAAAACAAATCACGCAGGACTCAGGGAACTTGTATTCTTCATATCATTTTTATCCGACTTTGAAAACATTTTAACTTGACAAAAATCAATTCTGATTTAAAATATTTGAACTAAAAAAAACTCTGAAAAGTGTCCGAAGGAAAAAATTACACTGAAAACATGTGTATTTCATTTGAAGGGAAGTTCACTTACAGCAGAAAAGCACGATTTGCATGTTAGTCGATTTTACGTTTTTCACATTTTCGAAATGATTGGCATTATGAATGGCTAAAACATTTAATCATTCAATTTGCCAATCCAATCGTCGTGAAGAAAATTGTAGAACTGAGGAATTTAGAAATCGTTATTTTCAACTATTTGCGTCGTTGCTTTCAATTGGAGTACACATATGTTCAGTGTGTCTTTTTTCTTTGAAATTTTTTTGGGACTAAATAACTTTAACAAATCATCGGTTTTACTTTTCTGCAAAGTTAATATTCTTTAGCAGCGAGCAACAAAAATATAAAGAAACAGTAACTTAAGAACTCTTAATTTAGGAACACAAGCTATTTGAACTCTTTATTTCGTGACGTGCTTTTCAAAATTATACCAATCAGAACTTATGCGCAAACTTGAGCCAGTTTGTTTGTACATGAGGCCAAATATCAAAAAAAAAATTTTAAGTCTCTTCAATGTGAGCCTAAAATTAGAGTTTAGAGACTAAAGTTTTTCGAGGGGCAAATTATTTAAATAAATAATAAATTCGAAAAAATTATTCTGAAATTTTCGCCAGGTTCAAGTCTATCTGTGGCAATTCAAAATAGCAGTCGAACATCATCATAGTTTTGCCCTGAAAAAACTTGTTTAAAGATCTTAAAGACTGTTTAGTCCGTGTCGTATAAAACTATTTTTTCGCTGCAATAACTGCAAGAAAAGTTGCGATCACTTTAAAAGTATTTGCTTGACAATCTGCTGACACATAACTGCTCATCAATCCATTTTCATAAAATTTGACAATGGAACTTCATTTTTACAAGGAAGTTTTATTGATGAATTGTTTTAAGTAATTAATTGACGAGTTCAATTAATTAAAAATGACTTTGTTTCATTTTTGATGAGAGGTTATGCGATAGCTAGGATAGCCTTATCTGGTATTAAACACCTACGCGCTGTGGTATAATTGTTTCTTTGTAACAACTGGTATAAATAACCAAAAATATATTCATATCGCATAATTTTCTTTCACAACTTTTTGGGCAGTCATTTTTTGAGAAAATAAGATCGAAATTAGGATAAAGTATTTGTGAGTGAATTAGTGACTGAATTGAGTGATTTTCAGAAAACTCACGTAACCACTTACGTAATATCCTCAATTAATCAGCCTAACATTAGGGGTGAAAAATTATTAAGAGTAAATACTTCTTAACCGCATTAAGTTTGCTCATTGTCATATAAAGCGTCTCATTACCTGTATTAACTTCAACTTCAGCCGAACAATTTGACAAATATCCTCCTATTTTTGTCATAACTCCGGAGACAATTCCGAACCAACCAAGATTGCTTAACCAACCATTATTCCAATTTCACGCTTACTCATTGAAAAAAAACGCCAGAATTAGATTTTTCAAAAATATCCCATAAATACAAGATCAAATCAACAAAATGATTCGTTTTATTTCGAATCTTCTATTTAAATTGGGATTTTTGTCGCTAATTGGGTTTTCCGTCGGAAATCGACAAGTCCAAGCTTCTCCCAGCTCAATTTCGACACCGGATTTTTACGCCGGCCAGTATTTAGCAAATAGGTTAGCCGAAAAATATGGCACGGCTGAAAAACCGGAAGGAGAAGAAGCGGCGGAAACAAGGGAGGGTGCTGAGAACAGGTTGAGAAGAAGTTCCGGTCGACTCGTGGGCTTGCCTTTGTGGGGCTGGGGTGAGCCGAGCCAGTTTTGGAGGCAAATCGGACGAAAGGTAAATGGCTGACATTTCTGATGTCATCTAGAAAAAAAACAGTTCAAGGTTCTAACTTCTACTTTTGATATAGGACGTAAAATGTTTTTAAAAAACTTGTCAAGTAATGAACATTTACTCGTTTCTGGTACTATGTACAATAAAACTTATCTGCCTTATTCTGTAAAATAGAACTTTAAAATAAACCCAACTATTGATAGCGATTTTCATGAAAACCATTCCAACATAGAACATCGCTATCACGCAATTATCTTGGATTTCCGCTCTCTGCTTTCGATAGGGTGGAAGGTCAGTAAACCGAAAAAAAACTGCCCGATCAAAAAATCGAAAACTGTGAAAAAGGTGTGCAGTAAACCGAAAATGTTTTTTTTTCAAAGGAACAAAGTTTTCAAAGTAACAAAGCTAATGATTAATTGACCCCTAAATTTTCCAGGAATTATGCGCAAAAATGCTGTTATACAGTTATACAGTTAAAAAAATAAAAATTTGCCGTCAAAGAGTGGGAAAGTATTTCAATTTGATTCATTGATGCTTTTAGTTTAAGCGTAGTTTTAAGTAATTGTTTGTTTCCGTTCATTATTTTAATTAGTTGTTTCAGTTAACCAAAATATGAAATTGCTACTACTTTTAAATGTTTCCTATTCCGATAAATTGATATGGTATTTTACTTATACATCCACTTACTGCACGCACGCCTTACGATAGACATAGTAAATGGGATAATTTGATCAAAAAACGTTTGCTTAAAAAAATTCCGAATAAAAATTCAAAAACAGGTGACAAAATTTGAATTTTGTTTTCCTATTTTAATCTCCACATTCGCAATGCTTGCCTCAATTTACTTTCAAAAGATTTGATTTTGTTCTAATAATGATATATTCTGTCCTATTTTTCCGCTCAAAATTTTATTGGACGATTAGAGTTGAGCGTTAAGTATCCCAATTTCAATTATAGTTGCCAAATTAGCCCTAAAATTAAATATTAACACGACTGCTCGTATCAGGGCGAAGCCCTGGATGTTCCGATTGGCTTTTAAGGTCTATGAGGCAGTGATAACATGAAAAATTTAAATGTAAAAAAAAACAATAAAAATTAAAATGAAAATTTATTTTAAAGGAGATTTTTTGTGAAAATCATCCCCCCACACGCCATATAAAGTACAAAATGATAAGTTTCGCTCCTAGTAATAAGTCGATTGTGGCAAACAAGCTGCCTTCAACCAATTTTGAACGATTTCTAAGACTGATTAAACCTCCGCTTACGCGTTAAAGGTGCGAAATATATCGCGCTTTAATTGTCCCCAAATTGGCCAAAATTACCATCTTCAAACCCCCATAAATTAACGAAAAAAGATCACAGCTAAAACATCTTTTCAAATGTAAGCTCAGGACAACAATACCTTTTGAATGATATAAAAAAAATTGTCAAAAAAGTCTAGTTTAAAAGTCCCGAACACAAATATTCCGTTACTTTCGTTACGATTGCACAAATATTGCACAAATACCCCCCCGAGCACAAATATTCCGTTACTTTCGTGACGATTGCAAACAAAAATTCGCAATAATTGCAACAATTGGTCAAGGCTATAATATTTTTTCAACTTGCGGCCCTGAGTATCAATATTTTCTTGTATTTATGAAAGTTTTCCTAGTGAAAAAGTAAAATAGGTTTGAAGAAAAAACACCAATCAAAAAATTCCGCAATTTTTGTCAAAATTCTGATCAAAAAATTCTTACTTCGAAAAATTAAATATGTTTGAAGGAAAAATCACCAGTCACGAAATTCCACAAATTTTGGAAATTTTAATTCACTTAACTTTTTCGATGCTTCATTACGAGGCCAAAATCTGCACTAGATATGCGCACAATATTGTGTCTGTTCGTTCCCAAACTCCAGAAACGAACGTTCCGACAAAATTTTACCATGTTTAAATACTTGTCTCTGGAATTTGGGTAAAGTTTTGTGGGAACGTTCAAATAAAACAAAGGAAGCGTCCTCGTTGCGGAACTCGCTTACAAATCACAACATGCACAGTTTGGCCTCGTAATGTTAAGCTGTTTTTTTTTATGTCAATTTAAACTTTCAAATAGCGCAAAAGGGAGGGCAGAGTGTGGAAACCAACCAACACTTAAATTATATTCAAAAGTTTTGTTGGCGTAGTTGTATACTAACTTAGAGAGAGTGAGCGCGCGCCTAAAATAAAAACTCTGGTCAAACTATACCAAAAAATGCACAAATCAATCAAAATGTGAACAACTTTTTCGGTGTTTAAGGAGAGCTCCGAGAGACTCTTTAACGGACAATGCGACAGCTTGCAACAAAAGATAACTCGCAAAAATAGACGAATCACAAAAAATATGAAAAGCTACAAGTCGCGAAGTTTGAAAATTAATTTAAATTGCTGCATTGGAAAGTAGCAACCGCTTGTTCCGCTGCACTGACGTTAGGCACAAGTGGTATAATTCGCGTAAATTAGTAGTTTCCGCTCAGCCTAATTTTTTTGTTAGACAATTAAAGAATAAGAAAGAGTTGTTTGTCTATTTGTGCGATGTGTCTTTTACTGCGAGTTGCTACGCCTTTTTTACTATCCTAGAAAAGCTGCTGAACATTT